GTATCTTGTGTAAACGTTTATTCAGGGCAAATAAGCTTCTCATCTATGCAGGAGAAGGAGACCGAACGTTATAACAGACTCAGATCATAGGGTACAAATACTCCTAGATTTTTCTCAACTTGGGATACCTCTAAAGATCAGTTACCCAAGCTGTGTGCGTAGTCTGAAACAATCCTCAGATGGACTATTTTACAACTTGGACGGTTGAAAAAAAACCCGTTATCCTCCCAACTTTGAAGTCCAGTAAGATCTTCTTGAAGTGCCGGCTTGTTGTCTTGGTTATAAATTTATCTTTGTAGTTTTGTATCAGAAAAAGGTAGTAAATCAGATGATACCCACTGAGGAAGGACGTTTATATAATCTCTCCAGCAACAGACTGTCGTACTTGGTGTCAGCAGTGAGGTTCCTATAGATTACACTAACTAGAAACCTCGAAAAATTAGACAATCTCACTGAATACCGTACAGATTCATCAAGACTTGTCAAATTTTTGAGTGTACACTTGGTGCGCTACCAAGCAAGATAGCAGGTACAGGGCTATTCGTCGTGTTTGTGTGTTTTTCTGACATTGCGAAACAAGGACATGCCGGATATCGCTTGCTTTCGGTCCGTTATTTGAGATGTCTATGTTTCAGATATTTCTATCACATGAGTATTATTGGCTTTAGTAGACGCAACTCATCCATTCACTCTGGCACATCATGGTCTGCATAGCCAATGTTCATGTTTTCTGGGACATCTTGTACAACGACAATTAGTCCACGAAAGAATGTCACGCGAGATTCCTTAAAGGTGTTTTTGATTTAATTGCACTCAGAATGTGATATACCAAGCAGTATTACTACATTCCCTTCTGATTCCATTAAGTGAGTGGCCATTAAAACATCTTGTTTGTATCAGGATCCTTATGTTTGAGAACAAGTCATTCAATTTGTGATATTGTGACTGTTCTCCTACGCTCACTATTCAGACTCATGTCTCCGATTTCCTGCTAGATTAGCTATTCTACTAAGACAACCTATAACATGCTAACTCGGACTTTTGCATTAAAATTGTGTGGCAGGCGTCGGATGAAAAAATATCAGACAATAAAATACATAGTTAATGTTTTACTTAACAATTTAATCTTTTCATGCACTTTCTGTTCTAATAAACAGCCTTCCTTATTCCAACTCTGACTTCCCTTCCTTCATTTGAACTTAATCCACCTCGGTAAATATCACAACTCATTGTTCTTTATTACTGCATTCTCTCATCTGGAGACTCGTATTGCATTTTATTTTAGCTACAAGAGATATTATGAATTCAATCTAATAATTTATTGCACTTCTGTCTGTTTCACTACAAAATATTAGCTATTGTATATCGTACATATCCAAGTGCATTGCTGCTCCTCGGTTCCTCGTTTTTTCCATAATCATGCTCTGAGAGCGCAGCTATGGAACTTCCGACATCTGGAACAGTCTAGACGTACGTGTCTTTCCAAGGTCATAGTTTACACAAAGCGCTCTACAAGTCTACTTTATAACAACTATAAAATTGGAAAGCTGCATTGCATAAATGCTTTGCTAACACAACTATGCTGAGATTGGATCTGGTGAGGAACGTGGACGCGATGCCACTTCGGAGGATATTTTGAAGTTTACTCAGTATATCTGAAGCAGTGAACTGATATTCACTTTTATAGATTCTATTTATTTAGCATGCATACTGTGAACCAATAAATGTTGTAATTTGTAAGTCATGCCTTAAAAATGGCGTGTACCTGCCCTTGCAGAAATACATTATATATATAATTATATAGCCAGAAGTGGCTGTGAGTATTGAGGATAATAAGCAATAGATTGAGAATAAATCAAGCATGGTAAATTGTATACCAGTAGCCATTATGTTAAATAAAACCTTATGAAAATAGGAATACGAATATATAATCTAGTTACTTATTAATTATCCAACAAGGATATATGTAATAATGCTCCACAAATCTTTCCCGGAAGTTACTATTAATCAGTCGTTTTTTAGATGTACGAGATGTGATGTTTTGATTTGAATGTGGTCCACGGGTAGATAGAATGATATCTCGTATCCAATGTCACTGATACCTAAGTACAATCTTACAAATTAACAAAGCGACAAAATTGGAGGAGAAAAAATTCGTTCTAAAATCCCCCATTTAAAATAAGACAAGTGTTCTACTGTGAGTTCTAATGAATCTGCTGCTCTTGAAAACAGATTCGCTTAAAATCGTGGTAAAACAATTTACAAATAACTGCTGAATTCAAAAGGGAACAGTGAGTTGACTATCTTTATTGGACACTACGAAATTCTTTAGACATCCCGTAAAACCGAGAATTGATGATAACATTTTTGATTTATATTAGCAAGTCATAACGTTATCGGATATGGAACGCAAGAAGAGATACATCTTCGAGAGTTACACCACAATCACCGAGCGTATTATGACGTAGTAGAGTTTCTTCGCAAGACTAACTATAATTTGTATATTCTGATAATCATTATAACGATAGTTTCTAACCGTAATTAATGTTTTTGTGGACAATATGTAGTAATGAACACAATTATCATTCGCGCAAGATAGATCAAACAACTACCGACCACACAATGCTAACATGAATACGGATAGATGAATGAATGAACGCGATTTAGAAAGGACAGTTTTATATATAACCGTGCGAATAATTGGTCATTAGTTTCAAGTAACTAACATTTTAGCCAGCAACGAAGGTGTAATTTCGTTGGTTTCTATTCACAAGATCTATGAAGCCGGACGTACAACAACTGTGTATATTTTCATGAGCTTTCAAATACTTGAATAAGGCCAATAAAGGTCAACGAGGAAACATATAATCGAGACGGTATGGCCCGGTATTGCATGTGCTGTTAGTCAATAAGCTTATTCACATTATGTTAAGCATATAACGACCCTGAATGTTTTTTTAATGGTTCATAAAAACCATACGCGTTGCTATCACTATAGGATGAGCCAGTATAGAAAGTGGCGTGACCTCGACGTAAAGCTTTACAGATCAAGTAGTAATATCGCAGGAAATCCCGATATTGGATAGGATTTGTTGTTCTAACACTACAAATAGTTGAGTCAATACCGACTTAAACCTGAACAACAATGAAGTAAATAATCAGGCTTTAACATGTGATTAGTCATACATTATCATACAAACATGGGAATGGTAGTGCAAAGATATAGGTAAACTATTACCGTCAGAAATTACACGTTCTGCTCAAAAAGTCATTTAAACAGTCGGATAACTTTACATAAGGTGGATCAAGCGCGATTTGCAAGTAAGGGTGGCTGAACACATAACTAAATCATTACAGTAAACAAATAATTTCCAGTGGTCAAATAAGATCACTGGGTGTACAAATATCTTTCTCCATTGTAAAGCGCCCAGTCGAGACCGATGACAAGGCTTATCTGAAGTCAAACTTTGTTGCTTTGCAACGGTGCTTAATAAAGTTTGTTGAAGCATTGACTATGAGAGAAGTGAACCTTTCTTATATATCCGAAAACAATTTGTGCTTACTTTTAACCTTCCCTGATAATACTGATTATCCAGCGTGGCTTCAATATTGCGTCCTACATTACTATCTTTATTATTCCTTACCCTTTGTCATGTCTAGTTGGCCCATTAATTCACAGATGTTGCGCTTTGACAAGGATCTGTGTGACAAAATAGCTCAAAATGTAACTCAAAATGCAACATATAACTCTGATAATCGTATAATTTTCACTGCATCATCCAAATTTATCAAAGGGACTAACTGTTCAAGATTGCATATCTACTTGAAGTCTAAGACGGTGATCAGCAGCCTAGTGAATAGTTTAAAAATTTATCTGTGGGTAACAGAACCCTACTCTAGATGTTATTTCTAATTCCCTCAACGGTGTCAACGTTTTCACAGTAAATAAATAACCGAATCAAATTAACAAACTTTGTATAGTATGACTAAAAAAGGCAGAATATTCGGTTCGATCAAAATTGTATTACCTGTGAAAATGCGATAGCAATGTTATATTTGATCTGTGTAATTCCCTATGAGATATCGCCGAGTTTGAATGCCATATAGTGGACATGAAAGATATGAAAGTCGAATGTGTACGTGTGTATGGTTACTATGTGGGAAATAAACAAATTTAAATGTGGTTACAGCGATAAACGGTTAAAGTCGGATAAATAAACTCAATATGGATCATGAACAAATTAGTCACAATCGCAAAGTCTTTGTTGGCATACGAACATCTTACATGGATCGCTTCGATATGGCCACTTTTAGCAGATTTAATAAGAAGTCCATCTATCGAAGGTATTCGACAGGTCGTCCTTTATCTAGATTTTATTCTATTTTGCGCGAGTCGGGAGGTTTTATGTGAGATCACGAGAGAACTGGTGCTAACTGGTGAATGAGATCATGTGCCGCCTAGCTTTATTCTGAAACGATATTACTGCGTTATTCGGGCCTTGAACGACTTGTGGGACTGTGTAGATATAAGGAAATGAAAGCTTACATGGAATAGAAGTGAATCTAGGACCTTTAAGAAACCTTTCAACGTAAAAGCAGAGAAACGGCAGTTTGTGTTATTCATTAAACTTAAACGCTTGACAACTTTTTTTTATCAACAATCGGTACAATATCTCCGTTCACATATATTTTGAGAAAGTATCTTGTTAACTAGTTCACTTTCGACAGAGTTTACTCATAATATAGTAGGTTTTCAATCAGTTATCGAGAACAGTATATGTAAAGAGATGCGTAGCATTGTGTACCCACGTGTGACCTGGTAAGTATGAGTGACCTTGCAACTTAACCAGGGTGTGTCCAGTAATACTAATAAAGTCAACATTAATGTCAGAAACCTGAAAAATCATTTATTTTGAAGATTCATTTTCGGTTACAGGTGAATATTGAGATATTTATTTGATCAAGTCTCGTCCCAAGATGGTGTTTGAATATATGAATGTCCAGGTTGCAAAAAGCCGCGCAGTGTATGGTCCAGTTTTTTCTGCACTTTCGTCGTCTCATGTAGGTATGTGAAATTTTATTGATCTTAACATAGTTTTGTCGTTTTTGATCGTTATTACATTTTGTTCAACATCTGTCGATATATGAATGGTTCTGTCATATTACCGATTCCGCCGTCTCCCTATTTTGGGGGACAAATTTGTCGTTTTCGGGTAAATGGCGCAAAAACTTCAAAATAAGGAGATGGTGGAGCTATATACGTTTGTGTCTTATGCAGTTTCTTTAAATTGTTCGTAGTACTTGAGGCTTTACTCGCAAATTTGTTTTCTTGAATTCGAGAAACCAAAGTTTCTATTCTCAAAGCTTTTCTTTATAAGATTCATGTGAGATTTGTATTCATTGTCTGTTGATAGTTTGATTAATCCGAATTAACAAGCACCGTGCTAGTCTAAGTCAGACGTTTTGTTGTGCGAGGGATCATTTTCCTATAACGGGTGGTCGAGTGTATGTCCTTATTATAGTTGTCAACTTTTGTAATCAAACGGATGGAAGTTATCGTTTATCTTAACTTCACCGTTTACTATATAGCACTTTAAAATAACCCTGGCTTAGAAAAGATTCTTATACGTCAATACGTAGTCTGATTCTTTCATATGAGTAAAACTAATACAGATTATGGCCAATCCTCGTGTTTATCTGACATCATTCTCATCATTCTTCGTTATTTTCATTAAGTAACTCCCAAATTTTTGTGCATAAAGAGGCTGAGTCGCTTGAATTTTATGGAAAACGTTTTCCTTGTTTAGTCTCGTAGTATACTGTACATTTTCGATAGGGAAGTGGAAAAAACCCATGCTAATGTTAGTTTCGATTATTTGAGATCTCCTTCGTTCAGGATAGATGGCACGTTAATCCCGGTTTACCGAAAACTTTAAACAGGCTTAGTGTATTTATTAACTGTGTAGAGGAGTTTTAGTTTTGATATTTTCTAATTTTGCAATAGCCAAGATCTCTGTGGTTCACTGACGAAGGGTACAGATGATTTGTTTACATTTCACACTGAGGAATTAGTGTTGATTATTGCTACATATTTTTGTAAATTTTTAACAACAAATCTTAAAATATTCAAGTGTGAAATCAATCAAACAAACTTCCTAGTACATGAATAAAAATATTCTGTTATCCCACTACTAAATAATAGTTAGATGCATTTTTTAAGTCGATTTAAACGGAATAAGAGAAAGAATTGTTAAGGCAGGTAAAATTTTAAATGAAGTTTTCTATAAAAGTATAAAGTAATTCTAACGGAAGTTCTGTTATTTTGATCGGAATATAAAGTGTGTTGTCCACTTGTGGTTTTAGATCGTGTAACAATTGACTAGCTGTAGCTAAAGTACTAAAGTTAATATTAATAATGCATACTTCAAATTCTAGTTAAGATTTTGCCATTCTAGGCTTCTGTGGCTTGTCTATGTGGGCAAACCGATAGATTTTCTGAAAACAACGATATTGCCTTACGACTGACTTGAAGGCATATACGTGTTTTGTTGCCTAGAGACCTGTGGTTATTCTCGACTTACTTAACCAATAGGTGAAGCCAACTCACACAAATGACCACAGTATGAGGGACAAAAGAACTTGACAATGTGCACGAAATTTAAAAGATTGTAATCTGAGAACGTAATGTAACGTTCAGAATTTGGTAGGTTGATCAGGTCTGGAATTACCTACGTTATTTATTTCTAGAATGTCCAGGATATGATATTCTTGAGAAGTGACAAGTTAGAGAAAAAGCGGGCTGACAACTAATTTGGCATATGAAATGAACTTTTAATAACGAAAGCGAGGTTTAGCGATCAAGGCGTCCAACCCCCAGTCACCAGGTCTAAGGTTCGGATCTCGCCCCATCCAAATAGGTCTTGACAACTAATTAGTATCACTAGCCCTCACACTTCGAGTATTGCTCACAACTAATTATCTATTCAATAATTTAACCATAATAACAGAAATGGAAACAAGGTGGGAGTACGACAATTCGACAGTCGAAACTAGGAGTTAATATAGTAAAGTTTCAAATGTCTCGCAGTAAATAACACCCAAATACAGGTAAGAAAATCACTTTTTGAGGTTCAAGAGTAGTGAAACATGAAATATTAAGAGAATGGTTTTAACCACTTCATAAAGTTTATTTTCCACTTTCCGAGATACTTGACTGTAATCATTTAATCTGCAGTAACAGTGTTATAATTTAGTTTGACTACCAAGCAAACAAAAAGGGTTGTAAATCATTTATGGCTCCCTGCATACACTTCCAACGTTCTTAGCGCTGTATATTACATTTAACAAGTAAAACAAGGAAGCAAACTCCGTGCTGTTTTGACAATAATGTCTTTTGTTTGATTTTACCCTCTTCCGAATACAAGATATACGAAAACTAAGTCACTAGTACGTTAAGAAAAGTTGTTTCTAAGCTAACCAACAATTTTCTGTGCCTTTAATTTATCTGTCTGTAGGGCGAAAAATTTCATTTCATCTTCAAATTCATTAATAAACTGCATACAAGCTGTGACAAAGGTTATATATATATATATCCACCAGTCATGAAACAAAATTTTTGATTAAAACTTCCTTAATAGCCTTCCAAATTGTATCCACTACAGTTATTACATCCAGCTACGCTACTCTTTCTGCCATTAATAAATAAATATTTATTCTAGCTATTTTTAATGTGTTACACCCATTTAGTTTCGTGTACAATACTTCTATTATCCCTTACTATATACTTCTGTGCGAGATTTACTTTTAAGCGGACATTACTAAACTTCACATGATGATAACACTATTATCATCTATCCAGTTCATTGATTAAGAAATTTCTCAATAAAGTCATATGTCTTCTCAAGTAAATAACTTTTCAAAACTGTTGTCTCGTAACAAAAGGAGAATTAACAACATTGAATTTTACTGTAGTATATGTCATTGTGAAGAGTGTCTTTACATTCAGGGTATAACAGCCTATGTTTATTTGTTAAAATAGTGTATACACATTATTATACCTGTGATAAAACTTACCCTGTTTCTTCATTGCTATCATCAAATTAAAATTTGATTGCAACCATGTTATTTTTATCTTGTGACTAGTTATGAAGCTATGGTGCTTAATAAGGATGTCTGTTTTAAATTATGGTTATCAGTCCTTTATGCAATCGCTTCGGAATAGTCTGCTGGATTCTGTGTGCTCGTGTCATACCACTATCATCCATCCACATAATTACTCTACTAAACTATCAAAACAGTTAATTAATATCAACCTGTAACAAAAAGATAATCCTTTCCATACATTCTCACGTTCTGTGATTTGATAAGTTGATTGAGCTTTAAGAGCCGTTTAGCAGTGTAGTTATCTTGTGTCATAAGTTCCGAGATTTCATCAAGTGCCACCTTACTAGAGTTTCTAAGACTTCCGAAATCAATCGAGTGATCAACACACAAAGAGATTTGACAAATAAAAAACGGATCGAATGTAATAAAAAACGGTTATAAGTGGTACAGATGCTCTAAAGACAAGAGATGGGTGATTTAGTATTAACAGCGGTATTTGCTGCATTCGTTCTTCACTTTCCTCTAAATACTGGGCTTTATCATTATTGCATACTTTTACTCCCCATGTTAATTTTCTTGTTTACACTTTTTATGTCCGGTTTTTAATACCGTTGATATGCATCAGTCTAACTTCATTAATCAATCACCTTGATAACCGTTACCATATAAACCACAACGATGTTTGAAATCAGAAGGCAATAAAAAGCGGCGACTACACTTTATTAGCAAAGAGCACAGATTACAAAGATATAGGCTCATCGAGCAAATTCGAAGCAAAGAAGCGAATATGTGAACAAATACAAAGGCGGATTTATATGTAGCACGTATCATTAGTGTTTACGTGAAAGCGAACGATATCTGAAACAACAACACAGCAGTCAGGACTGGTAAATGCCTCAACAACAGATATATTTTGAAACTTAAGAGACGCGATTCAGGTACAAAAAGGTACAACTTATTACAAAATAGTCTTATCCATCGTTCTGCAGGTTCAGCTTACGTAGAGTTTGTTGTTTTTCTTTCAGTACATTTACTCTTTGCTGCCCTGCAATAAGAAAAACAGACACGTCAGTAACGTCAAATGGAGTGATTTTCAGGACTGTTACATGTAGTCAAATCAAATAAGGCGCAGCTAGGCTAGGCAAAGGACAATAATAGGGTTCGAGTACATATAAACATGGGGAAGATAATGAATCATCGATCAATGTTTAAGCGATTAACATTCGAGCTAGAAAGATATGTGCGTAGGCTGTCATGTCATTAAGCGTACACGTTTATATAGATATAATAGTGATCATAATAGTACAAAGAAATGTTCGAATTGCTACTGTTCGAATAAAATTGTCTGTTAAGCTAATAAAAAGGCTTAGCAAAAATTAATCGTAATCGAAATTGATTGTAGGTGAGTTGCTATAGCTGTTATTGTGCAGATATTAGTGTTGTAACTTGATTCAGTGCATATTCGTAGATTAGATGTTATTGTAATTATGCATAATAGGTTATTCGTATCCAGACTATTCCTAATGTCGTTACAATTACTTAAATGATTGAATTCGTTTCAAAGATGATTCGCAAACTTCTAACCACTTTCACTTGGTTAACCAAATACAGGTAGTTACATTTGAGAATTTTGTCTCCCTATATACTCCAGTATAATCCGACGTTGGATACCGATCCTTACAACTTCATAAAACAAAAGCCCTGGATTCATCAAAACAGATCAATAGTCTTAAGAGATCCCACCGATTTCCTGTTGTTCAAGTTCATGCAACATAATTAGCGAAAAGTAGCCGGTCGAATTTATTTGGCTGTCCGATCTGATAAGATTGATACAAAAACCTTAACACTACAGTGGAACGTTTAGTTTAACTTGTCTGATTTAAAAAAAATAATATGTGATGCTCATGAGTTAAGTTTAGTTTCCTCTATTATTTAATAGTAGATTTTGTGGGTCAAATTTCATTGCTCCGTAACAAATGAATGTCGAATCTTTATATTAACTTAATGCACTCAAAGCAAATATTGCTTTCAGTACACGACATTTTCGGTTGTAAAAAATTACTAATGTTTCAATTCTGTGGGTAATTAATATATAGCAGTACATGTATTGGAAATCGAATTACAAATAATGTATTTCAATGACCTTTTATGCTTCATGCACAACAAAGTTTCTTTAAAATACTGACTGTTATCTTGTGGAAGAAAAATTCATAAAGGTACATGGTAACATCAGGGTGTATGATCAATATAAAAACATAAAACCTTTGTTAATGATTAAGAATTTTTGCAAGTTTTCTAATATAATGCAATTTGTAAGCTAGAGTACTGTTATTGTTGTTCTAAAAGTTTCGTTGGTTCTTATCACCCAGGTATTTATATGTTCTCATAAAAGAGTAGTTAGTATACTTGAGTCATTTAATTATTACATTTTGGTTAGTCTAAAAGCAGTACAAGTGATCACAGTAAGTATTTGCCTAAAAGTCAAACATACAAACTTAGATTTTGTTATTAATTCACAGTCAAAATAACTTAGAAGTTACTTCTTGAAGTAATGATATTTCTCGAGTTTTCTAAATCATACTTTCATTCTAGAGACTAGAACATAGCTTTTGAGATAGTAATCACTAACAAGTAACCTATAAGATTTAATCTAGTCTTCAGTTAAACTTATGATGTAACCACTGAGCTAGATTTCTGTACATTAATGGACATAAATAAATATAGAAGTTTACGAATTCCAAAAAATCTACTCGAGTTGATAAAAAACCGACAGAATTAGTTTAATTATGTATGTTCTCAGCTAATTGTATCATCACAACAGTAACTAGCTAGATCGAGATTATTTTAATATTGAATACATATTTCATTACATTAATAATTCACTTCAAATTATTAAACCTAACAGCATTAGACTTTTGTTATATACATCAGTTGATTCTTTGGTATTGTTACTGATGTTGATATGAACATTTTACCATATCAATCATTCACTATGAATTTGATCACTTTTGATCTCGTAATATAAAACTTTTAAACATTTGATACGAGTTTCAAATACATGAAATTCATTAACCATTGATAAGATCTATAAAATAACAATCTATATTATGTCTAATGATAATAATAATCTAATAGTCAACTGATAGAATTTTTCAGTGGTTAAGATCATGAGTCAGTTGAAGCTAGGCCACCATATGCTCACTAGTGACAGTCTTCAAGAAGTACATCCTGGAGTTCTAGTGAGAAGTAGTGACCAGTGGAGTTCAACCAGGTCTGTTGTGAGATAGTAACTCACTGAAGACAATGGTGGATATGTCGCTCGATTTCGTGAATTAGTTGAAGTTAGACACTAACACCGTTGGATGCCAGCTCACTGATCTAATGGTTAAGTGCTCGAGTGCGAAACACGTAGGCTTTGAATTCGAATTTCTCAGGGGGCGAGGTCGTGGATGCACACTGCTAAGGAGTCCCACAATAGAACGAAACGGCCGTCCAGTGCTTCCAGGTTTTCCATGGTTGTCTAGCTTCAATTGACTTATGATCTTAACCATTGAAATTACTATATTATCTACAAAACCCATCTGATGTTAATAGAATTTTGTTGATATCTATCTCCATTCCAATTATAATCATTACTTTAATTCATTAGTCTTATTCTAATTTCAATCACCTTGAAAATTCAATCGTTGGAATGGTTATTAAAAGAGTAGAAATAAATAATCGATTTATTAAGGATATTCTATTGTTTATTTTCTGATTGGTCAACTCTATATTATTTATTATTTTTCTTTCATTCCTATAAAGAAGTAATGACAATGAAAATATTATTTATTTCTTATCTTGAGATATAGATTGATTATGGGAGATAATATAAAATTGGCATTATTGTTACCGATTTATTTAAATGTACATGACTTTTATTATTAATATTAAGGTGTTATTTAATTCTAACCTGAGGTATATTGTCTCATGTAGTGATGATGTCTCTATTTCACATTATATAT